CATGGCATGGTAAATAGTCGACTCATAGCGTGCTGAAAGTTTAACTTGTTTGGGTATGTTTTTGGTGTAGTGGGATTGGCATTGTTAATGCTATTGAGGTTGTGAATGCATTCCTGAGGAAGATGGTCTCCAGAAATTCAGGGAGTGGATTGAATCACCAGATCCATCCATCCTTGGGAGCTTTAATGGGCATGCAAAAGCCAATGTGAAGAAAATAGCAAAAGTTGGAAATAACGATTTCAAAAGTAGCATGGAAGGAGTCGATGCTTCCCGACAAAAGATTTATCAAGCTGATGAGAATCAGCAATCTGCAGATGACATTCAAGATATAAAGCAGATTTTTATAGATACGCATGTAATTATCATTTTAGGTTCCTTGATTCTTTCTTGTTTTTTTTTCCTGATAAGAGTGTTTTGCACTTCTCCATGAATTTGAGTATATTATTTTTTATTTCTAGAGAAACGTGAGCAAGAATTGGCATATACCTTCTTCTTTTCCAAGTGAAGCAGTTATTACAGCTTATTCTTGTCCCCAAGTGGACAAATCGACTGAACCTTTTTCGTGGGGAAAGCCAGACATTCTTGTTCTTCGGAAGTAAGTTAACTTTTGTTTTTTAGTTTGTCTTTTCATGAATCTGGTCTTTAGTCTGCTATAACAGATCTTTCATGTATAATGCATGGTTTGAAAATATTAATTATGAGCATTCCATGTGACACCACCAGTCAGTTAACAACCAAACATACTGAGGAACAAGAGGAGATTAGATCATAGAGCTCTAGCTCAAATTTTTCTGATAACAAAATTTGGGATTATAATATTTATTATGGTAGCATGTTTTGTGGATTATGATTTTGGGTTTGGCTCAATAAGTTCCCATTTCTTTGCCATAAAATGATTAGAAACCTCCTCCAGAACTGCCAATATTGTGTGTGGTAAAATTGAAGAGATAAAGAAATAGAATAGAAGGAAATAGAAGAATAAGAAGAGTCTTATACATGCTAGAGACATTTTCTATATGCATCACACCCCTATTCTATGGACTTTTTATATGGATGGCATCCCTATTGTGCCTAGTTAATGGCTTTTGTTTTTTCTATCATTGGGAAAAAAACAAAAAAATTGCTTTTCATGAATGCCAACTATATCCATGACAAATACAACAAAAACAGCTCCATTTATTTTAGTAACTTGGATAATAACCATAGGCTTAAATCTGCCTGATTTATGATATCTGATTAACCTCTTGTTTGCTAAGATTGTGTTGGGAGAAATTTGGGTGGAATAGCCTGAAGACAGAGGAATTGCTGTTGCCTGTTTTGAAGGAGTATGGGAAACGTGAGGTATGTAATTCTGCCCAACAGGCAAAGAGACACACTTGCAAACACCTTCTACATCACATTTTTGTGAAATCAATGTGTACTATACTTAGGGAATTTAATTAGAGCTTTAAAACACAATGCTGATAACACTTTTTTTTTCTTTGGTTTTTCATATTTTATGAAGACTCAACTCCGGATGGAAGCATTTTACTCTTTCAATGAAAGATTTGCTAAAATTCGTAGTAAGAGAATCAAGAAAGCTGTCAGAGGAATTGCTGGAACCCAGGCCTTGGAACTGATGGATGATTCTAAACAAGAAGTTCCTGGAGGTAGAAAGAAGAGAAAGGTTAGTTCTGTTGAAAATGGAGATAATAAAACGGGGAAACTACTGGATGGAAATGGTGAAACGCTGAACTCTATGGGAACATCAACTACCAAGCAATCTACTAAAAGAGGGGTTCATCGGAAGATTGTTTCATCTGAAGTGACGGATCCAGAGCCAGCTTTGCCTACAGGTCGGAAACAAAAGACAGCTAAGAGGTCACGTGAGAATAGAGGAGGCAGAGGAAGGGGCAGAGATTATGGAATAGGAAAAAAAGGAAAAGGGAGTCGCAGTTTTGACCTATCTGAAACCAGTTCTTCTGATTGCCACAGTGGTGATGATTGGCAAGAAGTTTGTAGTAAGAATTAAAGCAGGCCCAAGAAGTGCGACGGGTAAGCTTGA